ACTTCAAAGTTGACCAAAAATTAAATTTTGTTAAATCTTTGATATTTTGCTTACTATAGACATTACAATCATCAAATCTTGTCAGTTGATGCATCTAAGGACCTCATATCATGCTGACATAAAAGTAGGTCACAGTGACCTACTTTTTGAATTTTGAAGGCATTTATTTTCAAATTGTTTTAGATGCATATTTTGGACACTTTAAGGCCTCTGATCATCAAACTTTGTCAGTTGATGCATCTTGGGTCCTCAAAGTATGTCAACTGAAAAGTAGGTCACTATGACCTTCTTTTGAAATTCTAAGGCTATATTTAAATATTTCAGGTACTAATCGGCTTAGAATTATCAGTTGATGCATCTTGGGTCCTCCGAGAACGTCAACAGAAGAGTTGGTCGTCGTGACCTACTTTTGGAATTTTATGGCTATATTTAAATATTGCAGGTAATAATTGGCTTAGAATCACCGAACTTAGCCAGTTGATGCATCTTGAGTCCTCAGAATACGTCTATTGAAATTTTATGGCTATATCTGAATATTTCCAGGTATTAAATGGCTTAAATTCATCGAACTATTAAGCAATGAATTATCATTTTTGGATGTCGTCGGTCCTATAACACACCTGGCCGTGTCGACAAATTGAATACCACGCGTTAGCGAGGTATGATAATTTGTCGGCACGGTCAGGTGTGTTATAGGGCCGACGACATCCAAAAATAAGAATTCAACGCTTATATTTACATTCTCTAATTTTCTCACTTCATAAATGTTTATTTTGTTAATCTTTATTATGAATTTAGCGCCTTCCATTACTGGTGTGCTTAATAGACGTAAGAGCCGTTTGTGACGTTGAAAATTAAATAACGCAAATAGACATTGCGAGTAAAAAAATGAAAAATTAGTTTTGAACACACAATTAGTGTATTTTTACGTTAATTTAATAAGGTAATTGGTTTCTTTTAATAAATTGAGTCAAAACAATATACATTTAGGTGTTCCTAGAATATTCAAAATGCATATAGTTCCTACTGTGTATTCTACCGCGCAGTGAAAAGGTTTCGTGTGTGTTAAAGAGATTTGAACGTTGTAGATTTCTAATGGATTTCATAAGGAAAATCACACTGAATGTAAATATTGTCAGTTGATGCATCTTGAGTCCTCGGAGTACATCAAATGAAAAGTAGGTCACCATGGCCTACTTTTGGAATTTTATAGCTATATTTAAATATGCCAGGTACTAATTGGCTCAGAATCATTAAACTTTGTTAGTTGATGGATGTTGAGTCCTCGGAGTATGTCACTGAAAAGTAGGTCACCATGACCTACTTTTTGAAATTTTCTGGCTATATTTAAATATTTCAGGTACTAATTGACTTAGAAATCGTTGAACTTTGTCATTTGATGTATTTTGAGTCCTCAAAATGTGTCAACTGAAAAGTAGGTCACAGTGACCCACTTATAAATTTTTATAAGCTGAATTTCAATGCAATGTCTAGATATTTCAAATAATTACAGACTTAAAATCATCAAATTTTGTCAGTTGAGGCATTTGGAGTATGTTTACCAAAAAGTAGATCACTATGACCTACGTTTGGAATCTCATGGCAATATCTGAATATTTAAGATAATAATGGGCTTCAAGTCATTGAACTTTGTCAGTTGATGCATCTTGGGTTCTCAGAGTGTTTTAACCAAAATGTAGGTCATGATAACATACTTTTGGAATTGTCTAAATAAACAGGATACTTAGAGGCTTCAGATAGAAGTGACAGGTTATACAATTTATCAGAAGAGCGATTCAAGGACCTTGGGCCCCTTGTTACTCTGTCCGTCCGTCTGTCTGTCCGTTTGTCAGCAAAAACATGAACCTTGCCCATAACGTTTGATTGGTTGAAGCTATGGCTTTCATATTTCAAAACTTTTTTGGGGTTCCAACATTTTTTTTTTTACCTTTTGACCTTGGAGTTTGACCCACTTTTGCAAAATTTAATCCAAACTTGAACATTGGCCATAACTTTTGAGCTTAGGGTACCAACAATTTTGACTCTTTGACTTTGACCTTTGAGTTTGACTTACTTTTGACAAACTTTAACTTTAGCCATAACTTATGAACAGTTGGTGCTAGGGCTTTCATATTTCACATGTGTATTTTTTGTGACCTTTCCTTGGTACCAACGTTTTGATCTTTTGACCTGGAGTTTGACTTATGTTTGTAAAACATAAACCTTGGCCATAACTTTTGAACAGTAAATGCTAGGGCTTTAATATTCCAAATGTTTATTCCTTATGACAAGACCTTCCCTTGGGCACCATTAATTTTGATCCTTCACCATAGAGTTTGACCTACTTTTGAAAAAATTTTAACCATAGCCATAGCTTTTGAATGGTTGTTGCAAGGGCTTTCATATTTCTGAAGTGTATTACTTCTGACAAGACCTTTTTTGGGTACCAATATCTTTGCTCTCTTGACCTTGGAGGTTGGCTTACATTTGAGAAACTTTAACCTTGGCCATGAGCTGCCATATTGGAATTACAGGAAAACTAAAATTTTACACTATTTCTGCCATTGACTTTGCACTTGCTCAAATGACCTTGGTCAGTCATAACATATTTTCAGGTCATAAACAATCCCTGTGCCAAGTAATTTTTTCGCCATTACAAGCCAAGACAAGAACTACACATTTTTATGCCCGCGTAATTGAAGATTCGGGGGCATATAGTTTATACTGTCTGTCCATCTGTTTGTCTGCAAAAACTTTAACCTTGTCCACTATGGAATGGCTAGGGCTTTCATATTTCACAGGTGTATTCCTTGTGACATGCCCTTCGGTATCATTTATTTTGACCCTTTGACCTCGACCTTGGAGTTTGACCTACTTTGAAAAAGTTCAACCTCGGTCAGAACTTTTGCATGGTTGGTGCTAGGCAATCACACTTCATAAGTGTATTCCTTGTGACCAGACCTTCCTTTGGCGCCATTTATTTTGAACCTTTGACCTTGGTCTTGGAAAAACTTTTGACAGTGGAACAGTTGGTGACAGGGCTTTCATATTTCACAGGTATATTCCTTGCAACAAGACCTTTCTTCGGGTACCAACATGTTTTGATCTCTTGACCTTGACTTTAGAGTTTGAGCTATATTTGAGGAACTAATAGCCTTTGCCTTGAGCTGCTATATGAGGGCATCAATGCTTCACCAAAAAAAAACTTGTTTTTTGAAATTACACTAACCATAATTATCAAACACTCCAAAGTAATAAGTATTCTTTGTGTTAAGAATAGACTTCAAATGTTTATCCATTAAAGGTATGGACTGGACACAATTAATACATTTTAATGCCAGTGACCTTGATTGCCCAAATGACCTTGATTCAATGTTATGACATACCCTCAGTTTTGAGCAATGTCTTGACTCTCTTACAATTTTGATCATTTTATGGATCAGAAATGACTGCACTAACAAACAGACAGTCAAATTAATGAGTTAATTACTATATACCCCCTTCAAGAAAAGCTTTCATTTGCAAGGAGTATAATTTATATAATTTACTAAAATACCTGTGCTCTTGACTCTCTTACAATTTTGATCAATTGAAGGCTAAACTGACTCTTCCAGTCATGGGCATTTTTGTGAAAACTATTTTGTAAGCATTACCATTCACAGCATTAAAAGAAGTCGATTATGGCCCCAGTAAGACTTAAAACTTCTGAACTAAGTGTCCTTGACTAAATCACTATCGATTAGAATTATTGCAGATTACTATGTCACGAACTATGGCAGTTTACCAATCTTTGTGCCACTTACCACCTCCTGATGCTCTTCTATTACATACATAATTATGACTTAGAATTGTATGCTCCAAACCCTTGGTTCAGAGTCATCATATATCCTTTATTCATAATTGAGTGTGAGGAAAAGCTTGGTCTCCAATAAATTTATTCAATTACAAAGAAAAGATATGAGCAAGAATTTTATATTTCAAATTGGGTTTCCTTGACCTTTGCCTTGTTCCATTGACCATGGAACAGAGTCATGACACCCCTGGTGCTCACAGGCAAGCTGTATTAGTAAACTATTATAATCTTCTAATGTTTCTCCACTTTAAATTCATGTCAAAAGAAAGAGTTTTACACTTCTAAAACCTTTATCAGTCGCCCGCGTGGCCCAGTGGTTAGAGCGTCTGCTCTAGAGTCGCGGAGTAAGGAGTTGATCCTTACGTCGCGGGTTCGAATCCCACTGCGGGACGTGGAGACCGGTCCTTCGGATGAGACCGTATAAACCGAGGTCCCGTGTCGCAGTAGGTGCTGGCACGAAAAAGATCCCTCACTGCTCAGTGGCCCTGAGTGCCGAGTATAGGTCAAAATTTGTAGCCCTACACCGACAAGTGGTAGCGTCTCCATATGAGTGAAAAATTCTCGAGAGGGACGTTAAACAACAAACGAACAATCAATCAATCAATCTAAAACCTATATCCTTGAACTTTTCCAAATTACAATTAGTCTCAGCTAGGACATATCACTATTAACCTAAATCCTAAGTATGAGCTTCTAATATTTCTCCATTTTAAAGTTAAGGCCAATTAAGGTTTGGCCAGGGCAATACTTAAACAACTCTATACTCTTGAACCTCGACATTGTCCAAATGACTTATAATTGGTACAAAATCAAAACATACTTCTGGTCACATGCAACCTTTTTACAAAAGTTTCTCACATTCGAATTATATCCAGGCAAGAATTTCACTTCTCATTTAACAGCGACTAAAATGATTTACGATAAAATCTTGCAAAAGCCACTACATTTCAAAATTTTGACAATACCAGGGGCACAGGTTCAAATGGTATACGCGTATATCATGTATATCATTTCTACAGTGTTTGGAAAAAAAATTCAAAAGTTTAAGAGATAATCACTGGACAAAAAATACCTACAGACAGATGGGCAGAAAGACGGAACAACAGATCTACTCAGTATCTATTAGAAAGCAAGGTTTTCCTCTCACATTTTGATGGCTACAAATCCAATGACTCCTAGCCCAACTATGGCACAGATAATTCCAATGGCAACCCCTGCTCCTCCTCCTCCTGATTCCTCCTCATTTGTAATTATTGGTTGTAGAGTTGCTGATACTGAGACATCAATGTCATCTTTATCTTCAAATGCAAAACAACTCAAAATATTCTGTGGAATATATAACTAAAAATAAGATGTGTCGTTAATGCCAAGAATGCTCCCGCAAGCAGCCAAAATTTCAAATGCAATATTTAGTTTTAAATTTCTATTCAAACTTGACCCATATTTTCTGATAAAATACCTGCATATGCAATTTCAACCTTTTACATACATCCCTACAAAAGTTAGAGAGCAGAAACTGAAAATTTCTTAATTTTTCTAAGTTCAAGAGAGATACATGTAACTCTGTCAAAAATCATTGGACCATGACCAAATTCAAATTTGACCTCTATTTTCTAGTAAAATACCTGCACATGGAATTAAAACCTTAGACATACATCCCTACAAAAGTTAGCTGAAACTGAAAATTTCTTATTTTTTTCTGAGTTCAAGTGGGATAACTCTGTCAAAAATCACTGGACCATGACCAAATTCAAACTTGGCCTGTATTTTCTGGTAAAATACCTGCATATGCAATTTCAACCTTATACATACATCCCTACAAAAGTTAGAGAGCGAAAACTGAAAAATTCTTATTTTTTTCCAAGTTCAAAAGGGATTACTCTGTCAAAAACCATTGGACCATGATCAAATTCAACTTGACCTGTGTATTCCTATGATGTATCCATATGTCAAATTTGAATTGAATGTGTGCAACTGTTGCAGAGATATTGAACAGATTGAAGTGAATGATGATTGAATGACGGAATGATGGAATGACAGAATGACGGAACAGGGTAACACTGTATGCGCCGGCCATTTCATGGCGGGGGCATAAATAATTGCTGCATTTGAGTATATACTTGGAATGTGAATATTTTATATATGAGAAACACTGCATAATCTTCTTTTTGCTTAATTTTGTTATGAATAACTGCTTATGAAAATACAGTAAGGAAGCAAATACATTCAAAGACCACTTTGTGTGATTCCCCCAAAAAGATGGACCATGCACATACAATAAATATTGGTGAAATTGTTATGGTTCAAATTCAAATGTAGAAAAGCTTGTCAACAGCCAGACATTTTGTGGCTCTTTAATCACTGTAATGTATGGATTAAATAATACAATATTTTACATACTTTTCACCTATGCACGTTATATGAGTAATATAAAGACAAATTTAAATATGGTATAAACAATAAATGTCTTTCTCTGTTTACTAAAATATCAGATGAACAATTACAGTAATTGCAGAGAAAAAAATTTACAAATCCTCATGCTTCTGCGAGTTGTGTATAAATCAGGAAAGCTATACTTTTTAGAAAATCAGCCTTAATATTAATGCTGTAACAGAAAAAGGCTAATGTGTTATATCTGTATACTTTTATTTAAAAGACTTTTATAATTACCTTCAACATTTACTTCATTTTTCACATCTTTACTTTTTGACATGTTTGATACTGCAACTTTTCCACAGTATTTGCTCTTTTTGGTAAAAGGGGAGTGATCTAGTTTGTACCATCCTGTGACCAATGAGATATTATTATGTTCAGAGAAACCAGGTGCTATTATTTTAGCCTGACATTGGAATGACCCCGTAAGAGTATCACACAGATCCATTGGTATGGTTATAGAAAAATGTGCTTGATTTCCTACAAAAAAAAATAAAAACATATTTAATTGGTAGTTGTGTCTAAAATAATCTAATAATAATCTAAAATGCTTTCATGTCTCACCTTTTATCAGATAAACTAAATCTTAGGTCTTTCTTAAGTTCTCCATGCATTTTCAGGTACAGAATCTTTATAAAAAGATTTTTTTAAAAAACTAGCCCCTTGGCAAAAATATTAAGTTAAACTGATGCTTCAAAGAACAAACAAAATAAGACCAATTATTCTCACCACTGCCTGTTCTACCATCCCATGCAGCATTTTTCTTTTTATCCAGCAGAATACGAAACTGGGGAAACATTCGAAATCTGTATGGATGCACAAATAATGCTTTTTTCTTCACCAGGCCTGCCAATATCACCCGTGCATTAGGCCAGTCAGACAGTGGCTGATAGAAGAAGTAAAACTCAGTCACCCTTATAATTCTTGCTTTGATTTTCTGCATATCCACTTTGCATTGTAACTTCATGTATCTTAAGCTTTTTATTTCATCATATTTTGCATGAATTTGGGTATAGCCACCTAAAAATAAAACATGTATTTAAAATCTAATTTTATTCATTATCTCAAGTGGGTTTAAATACTGTACTGTAAAGTTTTATAAATATCATAACATTACATATGACCAATCTTGAAAAACATGTACATGATGATAATATATGTGTGTATTTGTACCATATAATATATGGAAGAAAGTAAAAGTTAATTAATTTAATTAAAATGTTAATAAAACATTTTAATTATCTTTCATCCACTTTGCTTTAATTGTAAATGTACCTGGTACAAGTACCACAAGCTGAAACAAGATGCTTAAGAGCCTCATCCTCACCCACTTTAGTAATTTAACCTTTAGTTAATGGCTTGTTGTTCTCAAGATTGATTGATTGACTGTATTTTGTTTAATGTCCTATTCAAGAACTTCTCCCCCACGTAGAGATGTCACCTGCAGAAGGTGATGTGTCACAAATTTGTCCCATGCATGGCACTAAAGGCTACAGAACTGAGGGTTCTTTATTGTGCTAAGGCCTACTGTCACAGGGAACCTCACTTGCTAAGGTCCTCACTGAAAGACCCAGAGGAGGGACCAACTTCTATAACTTTTAAAATACCAATAACAAATCTAAAAAACATTTTTCCATTTGCAAAAATCTTATTTCCCGGGGAGGAGATGTGAGATTAATAGTACATCATGTAAAGATTGTCAATCTTTTCCATCATCTTGGCAAAATTTACATGTACTCCTGGTGGAAGCACTTAAGACTTCCTTCCATATTCCCTCCCCAGTTCCTACAGGTCTGTCACTTGTTACAAAAAAATAACCTTCAATGTGCCTGTCCCTGATTACAAAAAATTAACCAATCTATATTATCTAAAATTACCTTTTTTTTAACAATATGCAGCACTTTCTGAAAAAATATGGGAAAATGTTATGACCATGGCCAAAAAGAACATTTCAGCATACACACCCTTTGATGGTCTTTGTTTTGGATCTTGAACCATAGTTGGAATTTCTTTATTGTAACCCTCTGAAAAATACTCAGTTTTGTAAAAATTTGATTTCTTAAGGACACATAATTAAACATTCTACTTCTTAATTAGGCTGAGGTTGAGTGTATTTTAATTCTGATTTGATAACCTGATTCAACATAAGACAATCTTGCAGATTCCAAATAGATGTCTGGTAGAGTTTCCTGCATAAAACACAAATGAATATGCAAGTTTAAACAAATATAAAGCAACTTTCAACATGATCACTTTTACCAGAATTTTCTATGTTTCAACTTATAAACATACCAAAAGTTCAAGGTACTGTTTCTCTTCATCTTTATTTTTCTTTTGTGTATTACCTATAAAATCAGTACAATCTTTAAAGATGTGAACATGTCTCTTCTAATATACCCCATCCCCCCTCCACCCATCCCACCCCACTCCAAGATGCAACAGCTACGATTCTAGGTCTCACACTGTAAATAATATAATTTGAACACAATTTGACTTTGTATAGCTATAGAAATTCAAAATGAGGTCATTGTGATCTACTTTTAGATTATGACTCATCTTCCTAATTCTAACGCCATTATTTACACACTGAAATTTCTACCGATTTTTCTGTTTAACTGATCATGACAAGGAGCACACGGTGAGTGTGACCGGTCGACATGGGATGCTTACTCCTCCATGCCACCTGATCCCGCCTCTGATGTTTTTGAAGGTCCGTGTTTGCTCTGCTCTCAATTTGTATTGTTTAAATGGACTATGAGCTTGAATACTGTTCGTTATCTCCATATTTCATTCCTCCCAAGACACATCAATAGGTCTGGTACAATCACTAGATTTAGTTATGTTCTAATTCGTTTCACTTAAACGAACATAAATTATTTACAATCATAACACGAACACATGTTTAGTGAAAGAAGCGCTTGTTTGCCAGCATTTAATAGACGTATACAATTACAAAACACAAGTCTGCAATGGTACCGATTCTTTAACTTCCTTCTACAATGTATCAAAAATGTAATTAATAAAATATCACAATACATGAAAGCATTATAAACACAATGTTCATATGTTCACACTTCACTGATTACAACAAAATGCATTTTAGCACACTGCGAAAGGATGCCAGGCCCTATTGTTTTTACCACAATAATCAAAGCTATATAATATACGTATAATGAACACACTATGCTTCCCTCGCCACCCAGGAAAAACCATAGATAAAAAACAACATTGATTTATGTTGAAAAAACTATGGAAACCTGTAAGTCCGCAGCAATTGCGAGGTAAACAAAATGAATGGCGGACTCATTCTCACAAACTTACGTAAACCTGTCATTTATTAAGATGTACAAAAAATTGACTTTCTTGAGTAGAGCCTGTGCAAAAAATGTATATTAGAAATCAACTATTTCGTACTGGGCGAAAATAATCATTCATTGTTGATGAGAATCATTTATTCAATTCTTTAAACAGAGTTTATTTAATTAACTTTCTTTTATTTACAAAAGCATGGGTGGGAGGGTGGGTGTGAATGCGGCAAAGAAAAGCCTTCGAGTGAGTGAAAAGCGTGCTTGAATTGAATACCTGTTCCACAGGTATCGACCTTTAAATTCTGACCAATAGCTACGACCGCTTTTATTAGCACATAAACAATACCACGTGTTCCTAGTACATATGATAAATTAATTTATGTTCTAATTCGTTTCACCCAAACGAACATAAATTATTTACAATCATAACACGAACACGCGCTTGTTTGCCAGCATTTCAAACATAAAGAAAGAGGAATTTTGTTATTTGACATGCTTAACATTTTAAATGAATTTTTGCTAATATTCTTGTGCATGTCGATCTTTTACGAATGATTTGAAACTATATGTTCTAAAGAAAAGGGAACATTTTTAAGCAAAAATCTTTGCAGCATGGCAACCGGAATTTTGATGTTGATGCTGGAAATGAAAAACTGTGTCATACCCTCTTTCTTCATCTGTTTTGCTTTTTTCTATAAATAATAAAAACATCTAGCATAAGCTATATATTAACCATATACAACGATACAAATCATCCTTGTCTTATTCTTCTTGGATACTGATTTCGATTTCACAATTTGCCAGATAGATCTAGAAGTGAATGTATACATGTATTTCTTCTATACATTTATCAGCATTTAATTTTTAAACAGTATCTTTAAAATGCATTTTTTTTAGAACAGACTGTTGTTTATCAGATGTAAATCATCATAATGTGCGGTACTAGTATTTAGTATTTCCTTGAATACTCCTGCAAAACCTATATAGGTTCATTAATTAATTGATAAGTGCAACAAACTTTTCGAATAAATAAGAGTATATCAATTCTTGAATAAGATTCAGATCACTGTAAATAAATAACTGGCTACATCATTCTATTCACCAAGAACATCTTTACTCCACTGGCTGCGTCACATACGCACCAGGATCACCTAATAACTCCACTGGCTGTGTCATATACGCACCAAGAACAAATAAATCTTGATAAATCCACTGGCTGCGACTTGCTACGCGCCAGGGAACATATAACCTTCACTGGCTGCATTATGCTATGCACCAGGACTTCACTGGCCGCGACATGCTACGCACCAGGAACATCTTGATAACACCACTGACTGCGTCACATACGCACCAGGAACATCTTAAGAATTCCACTGGCTGCAACATGCTATGCACCAGGACTTCCACTGGCTGCGACATGCTACGCACCAGGACTTTCACTGGCTGCAACATGCTATGCACCAGGAAACACATCTTATTACCTTCACTGGCTGCATAACGCTATGCACCAGGAACATATTGTTAAATCCACTGGTTGCTCAATGATACGCAACAGGACGTTTTTGCATCATACAAAGTACTTAAATATCTCTGTCTGCACATTACTGTGTACCAAATCTTATATAATGAATCTCAAATGTGTAATAAAACCAATTCTTTATAACTGCAAAATGCTATACGCAAAAGGTTTGCTATTTCATAAACTTATATTGCAGACTTAATGTCAGATCTATCCAATGCATTTTTTCAAAAGTGTAACATATTTGTTACCGACTTGAATACTGTTCATTTCATCTCCTGCAACATTTTAGCATGGAGATAGCATGGAGATAATAGTCATTACGTTTCAATTTCTTTAGCCTTTAGAACGGCATTTACATCCAATTTTCAGAATATTTACCAAAGCAGTATTATATACAACATACAGATAAAGTATAATCACAATTATTCAGTGTTTAATGTAGATACTAACACAGGGATGCAAAACGTCCCTCATTCAACATTATTCAATTATTTCTTCAAAAGAAATTTACATATTTTTAACCAAGCTCTGGTATTCTATAAATTTTAATTTTATGCTTAATGCACCAGAAAAGTAACCAAGACTGCTACACACTGAAATTGAAAAGCTCCTAACACGCAAAGGCTGCAGCCGCCTCATTGATTGTATTCAAATATACAATGTCTTTTTAAACAAATTGCAAATTAGATTTTATTTGCATCAAAATGTTTGATATCTGAAATTAACCTTATTTTAATCATAATTTCTCAATGTCCAAATTGCTACCAAGATACGATTGTCATATTACAGTATTTTTTTTTTAAACATACATTTTACGTCTTAGTTTTGCAAGATTCCTCCCAGTGATATGACTGAATATAAATTTCAATGCATTTACAGTTGTATCTAGAATCGACAGTGAAAAGTTAATTAAAATCGTATTCCACATAAAATCCAACCCAATCATTCTGCAAATACACTTTTCAGATTGTTAATTTTTTTTTTAAACCTTTGTCTAAATACAAATTCAACAAAACTTTCTGTGAAATATGTAGTATATAGATTCTAGGTATTTGACCGAGACAGAGAGTCGACAATGTAGACAAATAGAATTTTCATTACTAATATCGTCAAGTGTTTGAAACCTTGTAGAAATACAAATGTGAAAAATCAATCCCGAGCTGCTTTTTTTTTTAAATTACTTATTATCTCGTATGTACAACATAGCAAAATGATTATATTTGCCAGCGTTACGCTTCCGGAAATCATCCAATAATATATTTAAAGTACACGGATTTATTTCATTTATATTACGCCTATCTATGATATTATCCTTTATGTTTCTGTTTCTGTGTGAAGCTTGGTGTGCTTGCAAAGAAAGTCTGTAAAAATATTATGAATTCTACGTTCAAACCTAACTAAATTTAGTTGTTGTAAAACCAAATCAAAATGACGTTTTTGGGTTTGTTGTTAGGCATACATGTACAAGTCCAAATCGGTAATTATCAAAGCCTGACTATGATAATTCTAACAAGATAGAGTCATAAGTGAAATAACTTTGCCTAAAAGTATTATGTCTGTGCTCTGTTATTATCTTTATCATCTTCTTTTTTTTTCAAATAATAATAGGATTCAAAATTTTTCGTCATAATCTTCAAACTAAACTTAAGTATATCAAAATACTTATCTTCTACTTCAATGGCCATTTTGTATTCTGCTTATGGATGTGAAATCTGTTTGTTGAAGGGACGGACTCTTCATTTTCCAATGAGCAGTGGATCATTCTAAAGAGATAGTCATAAACGTCTAAGGGTAGAAAGGTTCTTGGTCTGCGCCATTCTTGAAACTTTCCCATGATAACGGCTTTAAATATAAGCTGTTTTTGTATTTACTCCAGTAAACTGAACGTTTGAAGAGGATAACTGTCTCTGTCGAATGCAATTCCATATTAACTTTTGTAGACTAGGTGTTAGAATCAACCCTTTCCGAAAAAAGAATCTTTGTCATTATGTATTATACGTCTAAATGCGGCAAAGAAAAGCCTTCGAGTGAGTGAAAAGCGTGCTTGAATTGAATACCGACCTTTGAATTCTGACCAATAGCTACGACCGCTTTTATTAGCACATAAACAATACCACGTGTACCTAGCACATATGATAAATTAATATACGTAGCTTGAATTACCTACATACAAATCTACCTGAAGTAGCTTTATTTAGCTACCAAATCAATCTTATTTCTTAAATTGGCATTTTTCTTAGGAAGCGCAGAAAATTGCACTTAGATGCATTGACAATTTTCAACTTTGAATTCATCTGAACACAATTCATGAAAAAAAATCACCTTTGAAGATTTTTCTTTTTTTCGCAATCAAAGACCAGTTTTGGTTAACATGATAATTGATCGGTAATTGATTCAACACAATGTGAATTAATCATACTTATTCACGCCTTGCCGCACCCAAGGTGGTGTACAGTTACTTAAACAATGGAAATACACCTTTTGCTTAAAAGTGTCCAAATGCAGCAATGTTCAAACTATCTCTGCTTTGGATTGCTTTTTAAATGACCCTAGTATACGAGGGGTGATCAAAAAGTTCGCGAACTATCTCTATATTTACAAAACCAAAATTCAGATCGTTAAAAATGACGTTTGTTCTGTTGCCCAGCGAAGCAAGCCGGGAAAAGGTGTATCCTTAGGTGTGCATTTTTTTAATGAAAGATCGACAAGTACAATAAGAAAAATAGTTGAATATCTTAACAATAATATAGTTATTAAATTCCTAAAATATCGTTTACTTTAGACTTTAAACATATGAGATATGAAAAAAAGAAGGCGCCCAAACTTTATCCACATTGGTTGAACGACGCTCCCAAGACAGAGGACTCGGGTTGTGATGGTCACCATGCTAATTCTGGGAAGGGATATCCTTATCCAACCATCCATGCCGAGATTGGTTATTTCTGACAGATCGACTGTTCATGTTATAAAAATAACTTGCATGGTAAGAAATAAAAGTCTCGGAAAAATCTTTTAGCTTCTTTCATCAGACCGCTACGGAGCATGTCACGTGACCGCCTGGATCACATGATTCGCGCATAGGCAGAACGGTGGCAGATTTGCATTAAAGTCGGAGAGGACTAATTTAAAAAATAATGAACACTGACACCTAATTTTATTTCTTTTAAAGAAGTAATTCAATTAGTTCGCGAACTTTTTGATATTAGCAGACATCTACGAGGGTTGTCCGGTAAAATCGTGGACAAAGCGTTTTTCTCGAAAAATAATGGGCGCACTAAGCTAAAATTTTCAGCAAATGTTTATTCATCATATTTAAGTGCATCTTAATTTTTTCGATAAGATATAGACAAAAATAAGGATTTTATTATGCTTGAATGTGCACAGGGTACGGTCCTACGGCGCACGATAAAAAAAAACCAGCGTTTCATTAGCGAATACAGGAGTATTATTTCGAAATAAAAGTATTAAATAGATAAGGTTGGTGTAAAAATTATCCCATTTTTAATCCACTATCTATTATTTCGACTTTTGTAAAATAATAAGGCATTTGCTTAATATTTGGCAGTTTCCCGAGCATTCGAAATGGGAAAGTGGTAAACACAACACACGAAAAATGGCGACGTTTGGTGACGTTACGGCGCACCGGAGAGCAGTTCAGTTTGATCTAGATGTACTAATGGCACCCTAAGAAACTTAAAATGATAACAGAAGAAAAAAAAATATCACTAGATCTTTAGTATACAAGTGAAATGGGAGTTTTCTAAGCGGAAGCTTTTTGATCGAGTCCCCGGGTAGAACAAAACATACGGACAAACGGCTACTGGCAATAGCAAAAGACGCTGTTACTGTAGACCGTCGATATAAGAAACATGTAGCCTATTTAGTTGAATGATAGTGAGCGTACTGTCCATAACTTACTAATAAATCTTCAGAAGGTCCCATGTGTGTGCGAGATTAGTTCCTCGACTGTTTATGGAGGAATAAAGGGAAAATCAAGTATGTGCATCAATGAAATTCCCGAAATTAAGTTGGGCTTATCCGACTTTTATTTAGCAAAGAGGAAACATGGCGCTGATTTAGACACTTTAACGTTATCATCCGTGCGCCGTAAGGCGATACCACACATAACATAAAGTCTCATATTTTTATTATTTGAGCAGATATCTATTTGAAATTTCCTAAGTATATTGAGGAAAAATGTACTAAAAAGTAGTGAAAGTTTTAGAACGCAGTGATGATTATTTTTCAATCTAGACAACTTGTCCACGATTTTACCGGACAACCCTCGTACATGCGTCTTTTATCTTTTTTTAAATAAAAAGCAAAATTGTGAAAAGTTGCATTGAAATAGCTAAATAAAGCTACCTGAAGTAGCTAAATAAAGCTACGGTAGGTAATTTTAGCTACATAGCTAAATGTACTGATTGTACTGGACCTGATCAATTGACAAGGTTTGATGGTCCTAAGCCTCAATGTGAAAGATATGACCGGTACAGACGGACAGATGGGAAATACTATGCTATAATACAGTCCAACAAAAAACAGGCATATAATTAAAAATAATAATTATAACTTTATTTAAATAAACCCAAGAGCCTGAACAGTCACCTGGGAATAATACAACACTGTAAACACTTGTATTATACTACAAAATCTTATCGTGTATACACTCTTAATACAGTGTATCATTAGATTTTCCAATCTCATAAAATCTATTAAGAATAGAGCAATGTATATAATAGATGTATGTATAGCAGGGTCATATATTAAGCACTCTATTTTTATTCATATTACCTGTTGCTTTGACACAAAAAATTCAAATGAAACAGTTCATATAAAATAGATTCCCATAATTACAAAGAATATCATTATATGCCATATACATGTACTTCTTCCTCTTATTTAAGCGACTCAGAGAAATGCAAAAATACAAAATGATTGTGTTATTATAGTAGAGAACTAAAAAAAAAAATAAAGGAATTATAACAGACAGTGGTTTCAACTCACTACTGAAATTGTTTTGAGAGAAATAATGAGGGAAAACACACTTGAATTTATTTACGTTTATTTACAATCTTATAAAATTTGTATTAGCGTGTGTACAGTAAAGTACTATTAATACTACAAAGTTGCATTACAATACAAATCTTACTGTGCATACCAGCTAGCCTTCATTCTCTTTAATAATGACCTTTCTTGTATAATTCTCTTATTCAATTGACCTTTCAATTACATTTTTTACATCGATTAATTGTCATAGGTGAACTAAAAAGGGGAATAAATTTTCTTGGTAGAATACAAAATGGAGTCCTGCCCAGCACCAGAACACTTAACCAAGTGGTTCAGAATTTCAAAATTCTGGTAACATACCCTTGCTTAGTACAATTTTGTACCCCTTCACCCATGATTGCTTTATGCCAAAATTGATTGAAATTGGTTCTGATCAGCAGTTCAAGAGAAGAAGCTAAAATGTTCAAATGTTAATTAACGCACGACGCATGACAACAGACGAAAACGGATACATGTAGCAATAGGTCACTTGAGTGACTTAGGTAGCTTAAAAATGGGAAAAAAATAATCAAAAATGAAAACTTTGAAAGATTTGTCATTTTTGCATATCAAAAAACAGCAGTACCTAATTTGATCATGAATAAGTAAATAATACAATTAAAGAAAGATATAAAATGAGTAGATGAACATACATTTAGAACTGACTCCTCCTCCTGGTGCTTTGTCTGCATTAAAATATGCATAGGCAGGATGTCCTAAAAATTTACCTCTTGTCCTAACCTTAAATAAGGACTCACATTGGAATTGGCCAGGAGAGTCGCACTCATCCATAATGAAGTACATTTGCAGAAAATCAGTTCTCCCTGTAATATTTGTTGTCAAAGCATTCTTAAAATTATAATTTGTAGATATTTTTATTATAATACTACAGTAAAACTTCTCTTATCAAGACACCACTGGTTCCTTTGAAGTTCGCCAGATTAAACAACATTTTAAACAACTGAATTTACAGAAAGGGAATTTACACCATATTAAGCAAGATTTTGGAATACACAATATCGGGATTAGACAAGTTTTCAAGTAAATCCAAAAAATGCTTTTGAAATGTTGTAGAAAACTCAGAGGGCTTTTACAACTAAATAAACATAATTTCAAGACCTAAATGTCAACGTTAATTCAGTCATAGAGTGAAAGAAGATTATAAAAAAATCACTTAAGTAAAATTAAAATTCAATTTTGATTTAATGGAACTTTGGAATGATCATCAATATCAAATGTACATATAAATACATTTTATAAATTTCAACATTCATGTTTTTGACCATTCACAACTGCATGTACATACCGTTGTAAATATAGCATTGTTATACATTTAAAAATTTGTTCCTTTATAAATCTATACTTAAAAAAAGTCAAACATTTTCAATGTTTTACTGAGTGGTCATAAAAAAATGTATGTTCGACCGCAAAGTGAGATATTGGACCTGTTGATGAGATATTGGACCGCTTATGTCACACATAATGGGCAGGATCAGCTATATCTCATTTGCATTCATTGGTGTTTGACAGTGACGGAATTGACCGAGTTTAACCTCAATGCTTAGTAAAGGAAATTTACATCACGGAAGCCAGCACAAGAAACATGTATGTTAAAAAAATAAAAGGTATAACAAACATTTATTGAATGTGTTCTCGGAGCAAAATGCATTTTGTCGACCCCTCGAACCAAACAGTTGGGTTCTTGTTTCCGACAAAATGCATGTTGCCCTCGAACCCAGTCAATAAATGTATATTGTGGAATGTCACCTATAAACTATTTGTCATTATACATGACTCATGTTAATTCACCAGGATGTGTGTCTGACAAAGCGCTTTGCTGTTCAGAGAATTTAGAGTTTAAAACTGTTGCTTCTCCAGTTTTACTTCTGTGTCACTTTGCTTGATACATTAAATAATGATTTAATATTTACATTTCCAACTGATTTCTCTGTAATAACTCTTTGAAAGTTATGTCTGTTGATTTCTCAGTATTTACAACTGAATGTAAATTTCGCCAAGTGAAAGGTTAATTGAGTGCCCAATATGCATGTCAATCTCTTAAGGCAGCTCTGACGTCAGTGGGCGGGGACTATGAAAATTAACATGGAATGCCTTGTGTATTTTAAATCTATTTGGAACATTTCTTACATGTATTTATATTACACTTTTATTTCACATATAAATGTATATATAATGAATCATTCGACATTGTCTAGTTTGTTGGGTATGTCAGGGACAACAACTACAGTTGGAAACATGGGATAATGGCCACTCTAAATTCAGCTTCAATATTTGACATTTAATAGCTTAAGAATTGCCAGTTTTTTTTAAATATTAATTTCCAGGATTACAAGAAGTTGGAAGTATTTTCACTACTAAATAAAAGAAGAAACCATATAGTTTATTGAATTAATTTGAACTGTGATTTCTAATCATGTCTCGGGCTATAAACAAAACAAGGTACTACCACTGACTGAGGGGCTATTAATAATTAACAAGAGGCCCATGGGTCACAACGCTCACCTGAGTAACTATGGCCCTTCTGTTCTTCGTGCAGATTCTTTTCCCTACATATTCTTATGTAAAACTTTGATCACATATTAGAATCTATACTACCAGAGGATGTTCCATATATATATATGACTAATCTTGGCTTCGCTGTTCTTGAGAAGATTTTTAAAGATTTTTCCTAAACAAAACTTAAATCACCTATTTGCGGTCCCACCCTACCCGAGGGGGTCATGATTTGAACAAATCTAAATCTACACTATCTGAGGATGTTTCCACAAAAGTTTCACCTTTTCTGGCCCAGTGGTTCTTGAGAAAACTTTTAAAAGACATCATTTATTTTTTGCTAATTTATAATCATCTCCTCTTGGGAAAAGGTGTGTTTCATCGTTTGAACAAACTTGATTTCACTTTACCTAAGGATTCTTTGCAGTAAGTTTGGTTGAAATTGGCTTATTGGTTCTTGGGAAGAAGTCAAAAAAAACTTGTAAAAACATTTACATAAAAACAGAGGGACAAACTGAAAAAAAATGCTGAAAATGTACAGGCAAACAGACATTAGTAGTTGTTATTTCTTTTCCAGTAGACACAAGAGGTCCATGGGCCACAGCGCTCATCTAAGTCACTATAGTCCTACTGTTTTTCATCTGCTGATTTTTTTCCCTTTGTATTCCTATCTAAAACTTTGATCATCCATTGTGGAATTCAGCTCAGGTGAGCTAAAAAGGAGGCTAGCGTTTGGATTATCATATTATAAAGCGTAGAAAGGTGCCTCATTAGTCCTTTTCTTATTTTCTAATAGTGGTTAGCATTGACAAGAATCAATATTTGGCATAGAAATACACACTTACATGTACGAATTCTTTCTAATCGATGATCACCACCCTGATTTTCTGCAGCACACAATATATGAGGCTTGACTTTTTTTTTAAGATCTCTCCTGGGTTGCCATCTTATGTTAGTAAAACCCATTCTTTCATAATCCAGATATCCTGCACCTGCAATACAGACAATTAAACTAATTTAATACACTTAAGTGAAATGTCATTTGCGAATTTATGTTCACATTTCCACTATCCTCAACTTTTGTTATTATAGCTGTAATCTTGTGATTTTCTATTTTTAAATCTTTGAATGGTGCTTTGATATTATGCAACGCATATAATTATCAATCTGTTAACTGTAAATACTGTATAATGCGTGGTTTTAACAACCATCTAAGTTTGACAGTCCGTATTAGCAATTGTCTTGGTAACGCTAAAAATAAATGATGCTAATAATCAAGTCACAAATAAATATCTAAGGAAATAGATAGATGCATCCCTAAATATAATTGCTAGAAATTAATCACGCTAATAATCAATGCCCATTTTTGACAGTTGCTAAAACAGGGCTTTCAAAAAGATTAGAAAAAGGGGTACTTTACAAAAATAGGAGGTACCTTGTGGAAGTGACTTTAGTTAAAAATAATGTTATAGAATTTTTCTCCATCAAATATTTTAGCCGATATAATCACGATTTCAGCCGGGTAAAAGTACCAGGTATTGGCAAATTTTGAAAGGCCCGCTAAAATAACCCATTATACAGTAAATTTATCCATATTACAATGCTAACCTGAAAATATCATATATTTTATAGCTGCATTGTTCCAATGAAAATTGCAGTGCCAATCATTAGAAAATGTTCACTTAACTTTATTGTAAAAGAGTTTTAAAGGTCAGCCAAAGCACCAGCATTGATGCAGTTTATTGTGAATTAGGTAGATTTCCACTTATACTTGAAAGGAAAAAGAAAATTTTGAAATACTGGGTGAAATTAAAAAAACTGATAATTGTATTTTACAATCATGTTATCAAGATATGGTTGGAAATAATGATGAATGGATTGTAAACATTAAGAAGGAATTTCAAAGGCTTGGTTTAACTGACATGTATAATAGCAATTGTATTGATAATAATACTTTGAACATCGTATTTCAAAGAATGTATGACGGTTATAAACAAGATATTATGGCAAGAATTTTTATTTTTTATATCATCACTTAGTGGATAATGTTGTACTACAGACGTATTTAAGAAAACCATTACATTCAAAGTATAGAATACCTATTAGTCGTTTAAGGCTATCAGCGCATGATTTAAAGATAGAGAGGGGAAGATATAGTTAACATAGAAAGAGAAGATAGAAAATGCGAAATATGTATATCAGTTGAGATAGAGGACGAATTTCACTTTGTTTTGAAATGTCCTCGATATGAAGAACTAAGAATTAAATATATCAAGAGTTATTATTTTAAAAAACCATCAGTATTTAAATTATTACAGTTACTGAGTTCCACAAATACTAAAGAACTATGTAACCTAGGTAAATTTCTGTATTTTTCTTATCAATTAAGAAATGATGTTTTAAATAGTTTACAATAAGAAATGATAATACATTAAATCTATTGTTTATGTAATTGCCACATGTAATGTATACTGTACAGCATATACTACACTTATCCTGTGCAAATCTTATGTATGAATATTTATGTACACATTTTGTATACCTATGAGATGTAATGTCTCTGGTTCAAATAAAACACAAACACAATCGTGCCCAATAATATCCTTTAATTTCACCATACAAATGTTTCCATGAGAAAAAAAAATCCTCTTGGTTAAAAAATAAAATGATCTCCTACCTCCAATCATTTTGAATTCATCTTCTGGTCTAGGCCATCTCGGCTTACTAAGGATAGGCATATGCTTGGAACTCCACCGTACAATGAAAAAGAAAGTCCATTCAGCTACGTTAAAAGCAACATTTGTAACAGTATTGTAGTGACATCTTACAGTCACAATTTTTGCTTTACCAATATGTTTAACCCCTCCTGTAGCAACAATCATTCTATTTTCTGTAAATGAAAAAAATGATTCTATGAGAGACCATGCAATAAATAAAATAACCTTTAACTCAATATGACTTAAACATTAATATTAAGAAAAGCAATTTTTCTAATGCAAGATATCACACTTATATAGTAAACTTGTTTGTAATGAACTTACAGCAAAGTTGTTTTCATTCCTATAATTATAGACTTATTGAATACATCAAATTACATATATAACAAAGCAAAATCGTTCGTCCCTGGCACTTTGCTGTTTACTTCATGACTTGGGATGTGGTTTCCATGTTTTATTCAAAAGAAAAATTGGGCCTTTAATTCGCTTGCAAGACATTTAGTCCAATCAAGTTATTTAGAATTATTGTGATAGTGCAAATTATATCAAAAGCTCTTAATAAAACAAGGAAAAATAAATCATATAAAATCTATAAATGTCGGTTACCTGTCCAATGATTATATTTCATTTGTTTATGCCATCCCTTGTATGTTTCCTCCAATGTCTCCAGAGTTTTATACTATTAATAATTAGTAAGATTTCATATGCATAAGAGAACAATGAACTTTAAGAAATCATTAATGCCAATTTCTAAAAAAAATTTCAACATTTGTTGGTGGGAAAGGGGTTAGTTTATACCTTGTACCTGCCTCGACATTGGGACAACAGCATTACTAAATCTGGAAAAAAAAATATGTGTTTCTTTAGACAACCTTTCTTTTCATTCTCTGACTTCCATGGATATTTGGGATGGGTATCGGCAAAAATTTTGTATCGCTAATTATATCAAGATTTTTTCCAAAAACATAATATCATGATATTTGTGAACTCAGTTTTTACTATAATTTTAAATGAATATCCATAATTTTTCTAACAAATATGATGTGAAAACATAACTGCACATTTTATATATATTAGTCGAGTATGATTGGATGCTAGGATGCCGTTAAAGTTGTTTTACAATACTTGTCTTTTTACACTTCTGGTAATTGTAATTCGAAAGTTTGAACAATAAAATTATTTCTCAGACTGGTATTTAAAATTACATGTACTAAATAACGGTATTTTAACCTCTGCATCACGATACATACATGTATTGCACATAAAAAATCACAATATTACTGGTACACTGATAAAATATTGCATATCCTTAATAGATATAAAACTATACAGTAATGAAGACTGCAGTGCATGCTGTTTATAATAATAATACATGTATGTTGTTCTGTTGTTTCAACATTTAAAGTTCATGCAACCATGACATCAGTCATATAAGTATAATGCTTAATAAACTTAATTAACTTTTACACTCTCATATGTGACAGCAAACCAGGTTTTTCATGTGTGAACAGAACATAATCCATTTGCAAGAGTTATTTCCCTTTGCCATGAAATACACTTTTTCTCAGCATATCCTTTCTAACCTTGCTTTTTAGGTCACCTGAGTGACTCAGGTGACCTATTGCTATCCGTTTTTGTCGTCCGTTAACATTTGATTAACCAATTTCAACCAATTTTGGCATGTAGCATCTATGGCTGAAGGGGAACAAAAATTGTGAATTTCATGATCCCTGCTGGGTGCCCCCCTGGGGCCTAGGAGGTGGGGCTAAAACCACCAAAATTAATGCAATCTTTAAAAATCTTCTTTACTCCTGGACATCAAGCAGTCAAACTGTTGGGATGATTGTAATAAGCATTGAGCCTTCTACCAAAATTGTGAAATTCATGGGTCAGGGGTTCTGGTGCTAGGGCGGGGCTATATAGATCATATAGTGAAAGTGCATTATTTCTTTGAAAATCTTCTTTGCTCTTGGGTATTAAAAAAAAACAAACTGAAAGTACATAGTTATGATGAGGAAGAGTGCCTCTTCCAAAATTGTGAATTTCATGGCCCCAGGGTCAGGAGTTCTGTTGTTATGGCAGGTCTCTATTGATTATATAGTGAAAATACATTAATTCTTTGAAAATCTTCTTCTCTGCTCCTGGGTATTAAATAAACTAAGTACATAGTTATGATGAGCCTGGCTGCCTCTTCAAAAATTGTGAATTTCAGGGCCCCTGGGCCGGGATTCTGGTGTTAGGGCGGGACTCTATTGATTATATAGTGAAAATGCATTAATTCTGTTAAATAATCCTGTCTGCTCCTTAGTGTTGAGCAGATAAACAAAGTGCAGAGTTATGATGAATAAGGGTGCTTCTTCCTAGAGTGAGAGTTTTTTGTGTTTCTCATTGGGGGGGTCTATTGATAGTATAGTGAAAATGTGTTAATTCTTTGAAAATCTTCAACTGAGTGCAGAGTTATGACGATGAGGGTATTGTGAAATTCATGACCCTGGGTCATGGGTTTGGTGTTAGGGTAGGGCTGTGTTAAATCTATAGTGAAAATGCATTATTTCTTTGAAAATTTTCTCTGCTCCTTGGCATATCGAAGGCAAACAGAGTAGAAGCTTTAATAAGCAAGGATATTTTTACCAGATTTTCAAACATCTGGACCATTTGGTCAAGTGTTCTGGCCCTGGCCAGGGCTCTATTAATTTGTATTCTACTGAAAGAAGTTATTCCCCTTTGCAATTCACTTTTGATAATGAATCACTGTATATAATGTATTTGAAAAGTTAATAGAATAAGAGAATTATGCAAAAAAAAAAATTATTGTAAAATACAAAAAGTACTTTATAGTTTTAATAATCAGATAGACTTGTAAGTAATAGATAAATAACAAGAGGCCCATGGGCCACATCGCTCACCTGAGTAACTTTGGCCATGCTGTTCTTTACCAGATTTCCTCCTTGTAAAACCTATTGTGGCCCCACCCTACCCCCCGCGGTCATGTTTTGAACAATTTAGATTCTACACTACCCCAGGATGCTTCCACATAAGTTTCAGCTTTTCTGGTCCAGTGGTTCTTGAGATGAAGATTTTTTAAGCTTTTTCCTATATATTTCAATGTAAAACTTGGATTCCCTATTGTGGCCCCGCCCTACCCCCGGGGGTGATGATTTTAACAATTTAGAATCTACACTATCCCAGAATGCTTCCACATAAGTTTCAGCTTTTTTGGCCCCGTGGTTCTTGGGAAGAAGATTTTTTAATGACCCCACCCTATTTTTGTCTTTTCTTGACTATTTCCCCTTGTAAGGGGACTTGGCCCTTAATTTTAAGAATTTAAACTCCCCTTTACCCAAGGATACTTTGTACAAAGTTTGGTTAAAATTGGCCCAGTGGTTCTTGAGAAGAAGTTGAAAATGTGAAAAGTTTACAGACGGACGGACGGAAAGACAGACGGACAGACGACGGACAACGGGTGATCAGAAAAGCTCACTTGAGCTTTCAGCTCAGGTGAGCTAAAATGAGACAAAAATAACTTATTGAATGTTCTTCAAAGACCAAGAGAGACCAATATGAGAGGTTACAATTTAATAGTCTGCATGGTGATAGTGATAAATGGGGGACAGGTTAGAACTCAATTTATGAATTGTTACTGAATACTAGTTTAATTATTTCATTGATCCTAATCATCCTATTTCTCTTGCTTTTGGGCAACAAAGCTTCATCTACCAGTTTATTTTATATCTACGGATCCTCTAAATTGTTGTATTATACTCAGGTGACCGTTCAGGCCTCTTGTTAATTTTAAATATTTAAACATCTTTTGACAATTTTATACCATACCTTTATTGGCAAAGTTTTGGACAACAAAGAAACATAATGAACATACACATATAGATTTTATTTATAAGATATACTACCCCCTAAAGCTGGTAATGCTCTTTGCATACACATGAATTTCAGCACTGAAATTTGTTGAATCTTATGGTTTTATTAAGATATCAATTGATGATGCGAGAAAAAAAATTATGTTTTAATTTGAATCTTCATGTTTTCACACTTTACTGGAGCCCATAAGTGGGTATCGCCAAAAATTTTGCATTGTGATGTATCACGATTTTTTCCCAAAAATATCACAATAATATCATGATATTTTTATAAATAATTTTTTCTTTGATTTTAAATGAATTTTCATGATTTTTCTAAAAAAAAAAATATAGAGTGAAAACATAACTTCACTTTTTTTCATTTTTATTTATATATTTAATGATTTAAAAGCATTTTTGTGATGCTTAGATGCCGCTGTTCTACTGTTTTACAACATTTTTTACAAATTCTATAATTGTAAAAAGTTTGAACAAAAAAAATAATTTTTTCTTTAATTTAAAGTAACATTCTAAATACCAGTATTCAGTGTCCATATCATTATACGTATCGCACAATAAAAAATCATGATATACCGGTATACTGATAAAATTGCACATCCCTTATAAGTGCACTTATTCTTTGCAAAATATCATGGCTTTTTACATACAGACACGTCTGACAGAATGTATGAATTTTTTACTTTGACCTTTGACCCTTTCACCTCAAAATCAATAGTGGTCTCTTTTTTTCAGCCACAGGGATTTATCTGAACGTTATACTTTTAGTGCATGATCATGAGGGAAATATGAAGATTTATTCAGCCAAGAAAAATCATATTCCCCGAGGGCTTCACCCGAGGGAAATATGAATTTTCTTGACTGAATGAATCTTCATGTTTCCCAAACATTCATGCAAAAAATTGTTTATTACACTGAAAAAAGCAAAAACTTTAAAAATAAATACAAACGTTCAAATTTGGCACCGCTTTTAAATTCACTTTCAATTTCAATGTTAATGAAACAATTTACAGAAGTTCCTTGGACACATCACACTCCGTTGAAACAATCAGCAATTAATTTTGTGACTACTCTCGGGAAATGCACTAGGTCTCCGAAGAGGTTGAATTATATGATGATGTAAAGCATGACGACGACAGGGAATTATGAAGTTTTACGGCCCTGTCACGTGATAATCTAAAACCAATCAGATAACGCGTAGTATACAATAATAATAATGAGGTATATTAAATTATGTAGAAGTCCGAAATATCTGACGTTTTCCAGGCTTTTTTCTCGACTTTAATATTTTACGTGCCAGGAAAATGTCAGAACCGGCGCCATTATGAAAAGTGGAAATTTCACCTCTCCCAAGTAAACTCAATTTTAGATACTTGCAAATCGAATTAAATGTCAAACTCACATTTTATCAAAAGCACAATGCTTCTTGTTCTCACCAATATCGCTAAAAAGAAAATATCACTCGAAATTTCGATGCAGGTCTCACGAGATTTCAAAATGCACGAAATCAAACAGACCTCGACAGTTTGATAAAATGTTTTCACCAGAACACTTTATATTAATTACAAATGAACAAAAAAAGCCATATTGGTAAGTACTAGAAGCATTGTACTGTTGATAAGATGTGAGTTAGACATTTAATTCGGTTCGCAAGTATCGAAAATCGATCCGAGAATGCCGCCTCCAGTTGGAGGCGGCGATTTTTCCCTTTTCATAATGATTTAGCGACGGAAAAGCAACGGGCGATAACTCTAATATTTGCTAAATTTGTGTTGTCAAAAATGGCGTGTAAAATAAACGATCGGGTGGTCGTGTGTTACGGACTGATACAAAAAGACGACGACATGTACAATCGCAAAAGATTTTCGGAAACCTTCATGAAGTATTACTGCAAGTGTATATTGATGAAAATAAATAAATTGCATCATTTTAGCGAGAAAAAAAGTAAAAATGAAAAATTCGTTTCT